GCCTGCACTCAGATCTCTGTATTGAGGCAGCCTGCACTCAGATCTTTGTGTTGAAGCAGCCTGCACTCAGATCTTTGTGTTGAGGCAGCCAGCACTCAGATCTTGTGTTAAGGCAGCCTGCACTCAGATCTTGTGTTAAGGCAGCCAGCACTCAGATCTTTGTATTGAGGCAACCAGCACTCAGATCTTGTGTTAAGGCAGCCTGCACTCAGATCTTGTGTTAAGGCAGCCAGCACTCAGATCTCTGTATTGAGGCAGCCTGCACTCAGATCTTTGTGTTGAGGCAGCCAGCACTCAGATCTTGTGTTGAGGCAGCCTGCACTCAGATCTCTGTGTTGAGGCAGCCAGCACTCAGATCTCTGTATTGAGGCAGCCAGCACTCAGATCTTTGTGTTGAGGCAGCCAGCACTCAGATCTTTGTGTTGAGGCAGCCAGCACTCAGATCTCTGTGTTGAGGCAGCCTGCACTCAGATCTTTGTGTAGAGGCAGCCAGCACTCAGATCTTTGTGTTGAGGCAGCCAGCACTCAGATCTTTGTGTTGAGGCAGCCAGCACTCAGATCTTTGTGTTGAGGCAGCCAGCACTCAGATCTTTGTGTTGAGGCAGCCTGCACTCAGATCTTTGTATTGAGGCAGTCTGCACTCAGATCTTGTGTTGAGGCAGCCAGCACTCAGATCTTTGTGTTGAGGCAGCCTGCACTCAGATCTTGTGTTGAGGCAGCCTGCACTCAGATCTTTGTGTTGAGGCAGCCAGCACTCAGATCTTGTGTTGAGGCAGCCTGCACTCAGATCTTTGTGTTGAGGCAGCCAGCACTCAGATCTTTGTGTAGAGGCAGCCTGCACTCAGATCTTTGTGTTGAGGCAGCCAGCACTCAGATCTTTGTGTTGAGGCAGCCAGCACTCAGATCTCTGTGTTGAGGCAGCCTGCACTCAGATCTCTGTATTGAGGCAGCCTGCACTCAGATCTTTGTGTTGAAGCAGCCTGCACTCAGATCTTTGTGTTGAGGCAGCCAGCACTCAGATCTTTGTGTTGAGGCAGCCAGCACTCAGATCTCTGTGTTGAGGCAGCCTGCACTCAGATCTCTGTATTGAGGCAGCCTGCACTCAGATCTTTGTGTTGAAGCAGCCTGCACTCAGATCTTTGTGTTGAGGCAGCCAGCACTCAGATCTTGTGTTAAGGCAGCCTGCACTCAGATCTTGTGTTAAGGCAGCCAGCACTCAGATCTTTGTATTGAGGCAACCAGCACTCAGATCTTGTGTTAAGGCAGCCTGCACTCAGATCTTGTGTTAAGGCAGCCAGCACTCAGATCTCTGTATTGAGGCAGCCTGCACTCAGATCTTTGTGTTGAGGCAGCCAGCACTCAGATCTTGTGTTGAGGCAGCCTGCACTCAGATCTCTGTGTTGAGGCAGCCAGCACTCAGATCTCTGTATTGAGGCAGCCAGCACTCAGATCTTTGTGTTGAGGCAGCCAGCACTCAGATCTTTGTGTTGAGGCAGCCAGCACTCAGATCTCTGTGTTGAGGCAGCCTGCACTCAGATCTTTGTGTAGAGGCAGCCAGCACTCAGATCTTTGTGTTGAGGCAGCCAGCACTCAGATCTTTGTGTTGAGGCAGCCAGCACTCAGATCTTTGTGTTGAGGCAGCCAGCACTCAGATCTTTGTGTTGAGGCAGCCTGCACTCAGATCTTTGTATTGAGGCAGTCTGCACTCAGATCTTGTGTTGAGGCAGCCAGCACTCAGATCTTTGTGTTGAGGCAGCCTGCACTCAGATCTTGTGTTGAGGCAGCCTGCACTCAGATCTTTGTGTTGAGGCAGCCAGCACTCAGATCTTGTGTTGAGGCAGCCTGCACTCAGATCTTTGTGTTGAGGCAGCCAGCACTCAGATCTTTGTGTAGAGGCAGCCTGCACTCAGATCTTTGTGTTGAGGCAGCCAGCACTCAGATCTTTGTGTTGAGGCAGCCAGCACTCAGATCTTTGTGTAGAGGCAGCCTGCACTCAGATCTTTGTGTTGAAGCAGCCTGCACTCAGATCTTTGTGTTGAGGCAGCCAGCACTCAGATCTCTGTGTTGAGGCAGCCAGCACTCAGATCTTTGTGTTGAAGCAGCCTGCACTCAGATCTTTGTGTTGAGGCAGCCAGCACTCAGATCTTTGTGTTGAGGCAGCCTGCACTCAGATCTTTGTGTTGAGGCAGCCAGCACTCAGATCTTTGTGTTGAAGCAGCCAGCACTCAGATCTCTGTGTTGAGGCAGCCAGCACTCAGATCTTTGTGTTGAATCAGCCTGCACTCAGATCTCTGTGTTGAGGCAGCCTGCACTCAGATCTTTGTGTTGAGGCAGCCAGCACTCAGATCTCTGTATTGAGGCAGCCTGCACTCAGATCTTTGTGTTGAGGCAGCCAGCACTCAGATCTCTGTGTTGAGGCAGCCTGCACTCAGATCTCTGTATTGAGGCAGCCTGCACTCAGATCTTTGTGTTGAAGCAGCCTGCACTCAGATCTTTGTGTTGAGGCAGCCAGCACTCAGATCTTTGTGTTGAGGCAGCCAGCACTCAGATCTCTGTGTTGAGGCAGCCTGCACTCAGATCTCTGTATTGAGGCAGCCTGCACTCAGATCTTTGTGTTGAAGCAGCCTGCACTCAGATCTTTGTGTTGAGGCAGCCAGCACTCAGATCTTGTGTTAAGGCAGCCTGCACTCAGATCTTGTGTTAAGGCAGCCAGCACTCAGATCTTTGTATTGAGGCAGCCAGCACTCAGATCTTGTGTTAAGGCAGCCTGCACTCAGATCTTGTGTTAAGGCAGCCAGCACTCAGATCTCTGTATTGAGGCAGCCTGCACTCAGATCTTTGTGTTGAGGCAGCCAGCACTCAGATCTTGTGTTGAGGCAGCCTGCACTCAGATCTCTGTGTTGAGGCAGCCAGCACTCAGATCTCTGTATTGAGGCAGCCAGCACTCAGATCGTTGTGTTGAGGCAGCCAGCACTCAGATCTTTGTGTTGAGGCAGCCTGCACTCAGATCTTTGTGTTGAGGCAGCCTGCACTCAGATCTTTGTGTTGAGGCAGCCAGCTCTCAGATCTTTGTGTTGAAGCAGCCTGCACTCAGATCTTTGTGTTGAGGCAGCCAGCTCTCAGATCTTTGTGTTGAGGCAGCCAGCACTCAGATCTTTCTGCATTCAAAAGAATGTGCATGATCAAATAATCTCAGTTTGTAGATACGTTATAAATTGTAATGAATTAAGTGATTTGTTACGACTACTGAGTTGACAGTTACTAGACTGATCAACTAGCAGTGCACAAGTCTTCTAATGTTACAAATTGCCGATAGGATGAAATTTTGTTATTTGGTTACAAGAGTCTCCAGCATCTGAACCCTGTTCTCACACACATGTTCTTGTGTGAAAAGGCTTACCGGTAATATAGAGGTATCAAACGGAAAGTTGATACCCCATTTTTACCAATCAGAATCAAACATCTTCAAGGTCATGGTAGAATGTCACTGTTAACTGCGGTCGAGGACCCAATGAGGTAACTGGAATCAAACGTGAGATCTAATTCTAGGCCCGTGATTGGCTACTCCATGGTGATGACCTGAGGTCAATACATGACGGACTACTTTCCTGATTGTAATTTATTGATTAGGCCCTCATTCCTTAGTCAAATTCATCAACATTTGTGTCAAACTTCTTTGCACTATCATCAAAGCTTTGATAATCCAAAGAAAGGCTGAATATGTTTTGCGGAGGGTCACACAGGGTATGGGTTATATCGCTCATGACTTGTGTTCTGTAACACAATGCTCCCCTGCGATCATGAGAAAAAACAAAGTCATCAGTTCAAGGTAAAATGTTGTGATTTTAGGGTGTGTAAGAAACAGATTACTGTACTCGTACCTATCATATACCATGTATCTTACAAGTGGTCAGATACGTTTTGAAACTCGTAAGAAAAATGGTATCTTATGGACACTCGCGTGATAACCTCTATTTACATGCTCTGACTACATACACAGGGGCACTCATAGGAAATGCACATGTTTTGGACCCCAAAAATATTTTCACTTCAACCCAAACATGCCAAAGGTGAGAATTTTTATATTTCTTGGTGTACGATCTGCCAACTAAAAATAGTAAAAAAGTGTAAAAAATGAAAATGAAAAATAAAAACCAACTTATCATTTTTGTTTAAGAACCACCAACAAGATAAAAAGTAACAAGAAGAAAAAATAACCCTGATTATTGGACGATGTAAGTTGGACATAGTGAACAGGTAACAGGTAGGAAGTGCCTTGTATACGACAAGCGATGTCAAGCTCCTCACAGCGATAGCCCGTTCGCGGAGCTCTCTATACTATTGCTGCCACCAGTCAAAACTCCCCACATTGAATAGGTGGCCACAACCATGCTTGGAGTTGAACTCGTAACCGAATGACCGTTATGTTTACAAACAAGTGACGACTGTCGTGACGCCGAATACACTTATCGCTGCTAAATTACTTTCTTCATTTGTCAATTTGAATTTCTGTTTCATTTAAACTATCGTGTTATTGATATAGTAAGAATGTAAGGGAGAAGTTGGTTGATTTTCGTTAGTCTGCAATCTCGAACCAATCTGATTATTAAAACAACAAAGTAAATTCATCTGGAAAACATGGTCAGTCATAAACCTTTTCAAAATGAAATATGATGGCATTCCCAAAGACATAAACAAAAATATCAACGTTACTACGTTTGGGGTTAGAGGGCAAATTTCAAGATTCTTGTAATGGCCGCGCCCACACTGGTGGCAGTGATGTTACCGAGAGTGTAACGAAGGTGTCACGCGCTGGGAAGGAGCTTGAAGCGATGTGTGGAAAGGGAGGTAACTGCAGCTGCAGCTGCAGCCAAATACAGACCATTGAAAAAAAGAAAACATTCATAGAATACCTGACAGGATGGCACTTATTTTTTTTATTTTCCTACCAAAACCTATGAAAAAATCCATAAACCAGGAAATAAAAGAATTCTGTCCAATGAGATGATAATGATCATTTTATTTTCCACATTGCAGGAGTCCAGGAATCGGACATTTATGGAACTTGCTGAACTGAGAAAAACAAACCTTCCGACGGAGGTCGTTACCATAGAAACTGTAAACATCCTCCCTTAAACTTAATTAGAATTTACTTTTTTTCCTAATTCAACAACTTTTACATAATAAATACTGGATATTTACCCATAAAGGTAGAATGACGTGTTTATAAACTTTCCGATATTTACAAGTGCACTTTAGAAATGTTCAATGCTGAGTGGTGAGCTGAAGCCATGCAATCATAGCTTCTTTGTGGAGACATCAGCCAATGTTCAATACGTCACAAATTGATTATAATACGTCATCTGAACAACCGGCTGCCTAAGTGAAGTTTCAAACATCTTTTGCTATTTTCTCTCTTAAAATGCCAATGAGTAATAGACAGCCTACTTGAAACTTAGTTATGGATTATCTGGCCCTTGTGGATGAAAGTGGAGATGAACACCTTCACCTGGGACAGATAATCCATAATTCCTCACAACTTGTAGGTTACTCTCTAACACTGTAACAACTCAATACCCTGGGCTTTTGTTTGGAGACTAGATATTTTCTCAGGTAAAGCCAAAAAAACAGATAATACCATGAGCCTAAATATATATAAAAACCATCTTGCAACAATGTATTTTTGGTGGCTACAATTCCTCTTTTGCAAAATTTTGAAGCATAATTATCATTTTCCAACATTTTCCGGGACCATTTTATATTTATATTTTTCAAGAAAATCCCAGGCCCCAGATATCCAATAGTTGGTCCCCAAGCACCTAATTCCGAAGAAGTCACCAGAATTTTGTTACAAAAAATATTTATCAACTAAACTGCCATATTGACACTGAACCAACCAAAGCCAATGTTAGATAAAATAATTATATTGAGCTGAACAAATTTTATTTTCTCCTTATTTGTAATTCTCAAGCTACTAGGAACAAACCTGTAAATCATGAACGCAAAGAAGTGTGTCATTTTTGGGTGCTTTCTGTCAAGGCTATTTCATCAACAAATTCAACAAATGTCAAATCATAAAATCTACCACGTGATCTCAATCACCTTTGGCTTAGTGTCCATGGCATCGACTTGTTGATCTGAGGGGACACAAGAGTCAAATAACTCGGGCATTTTACAAACAAGTTCTGGGTGATTTTCTTGTATGTGCTTTGCCAGTGAATCCTTCTTGTCGGTCCCGTAACCACATCGAACACATGGGAACGGTTCGCTGGAGTGGAGCTGCATATGGGATCGAAGCTCCATCTTGTTCCCAACGTCCTTGTGGCAGATGCGGCACTTCAAGACACGGTCCCCAGAGTGCCAGAGCGTCACATGACGCTTGAGCCGAGTCGGAGTGTCAAAACTCTTCTCACAGTCCCCGCACTTATGATACCGTGTTCGGAAGTGGGTCTTTTTATGGCTAGTCAGTCCTGAGTTGGATGTGAATGTCTTATCACACAGCTCACAGGCGTAAGGACGCTCCCCCGTGTGGATGCGCATGTGGATTTTTAAGTCCGTTTTCCTTGCAAAATGCACACTGCACTCCTCGCACTGAAAGGGTTTTTCTTTGTTATGGAATGAACTCACATGTGCTTCGAGAGGTGCCTTTTGTGAAAATGCCATTGGACATTTATCACAAATGAATGGTTTTTCCCCAGTGTGCACTCTCATATGGACTCGGAGATTGGCAACGTGAGGGAACTTCTGTCCACAAGAGCCACATCGGAAGTTCTGCACGCTGAGATGCTCGCTGACGTGGGTCTTGAAAGCCTCGGCCGATTTGAACACTGTCTTTGTGGTACACACGCTACACTTGAAGGTCTTACAGCGAGTGTGAGCGATCACATGATCTGCTAGAATTTTCACGTTGGAGCATTTCCTCTTGCAGGCTGGGCAGAACACGTTCTTCAGCTTGTGCTCCTTGCTGTGCGTCTTCAGTTCATCGGCTGTTGAGAACTTGGCTTCGCATGTCCCACAGATATAAAACGCATTTTCCAGATCAAGCAACTTTTTTCTCTTCAAAAATGGAGACACTAGCGTTTGCATAACATCTGAAGAGTCTTTGGAGGGTCTGGGATCGTCCAGATAAAAACGCTTTCTGCCGGGATGAAGCCTTGGCTTCTTTCTGTTGATGCTGAGTTCCTCGGGTGTGACATTGATGTAACATTCAGATGTGACATCAGTCTGGACGGTTACCGTCCTGGACTCAGGCCGGGGGTCGCTCGGCAACCGCCTCTTTGCAGGTGCCACTTCATGTCCACAGTTATCAACACTGTCCATCTTGCCTTCTTGGTCTTTCAGATCCTCCCCAGCAACATCTGCATCTTCATCTGGCTTCTCTATCTTCACCTTCACTGTGCTATCAAACAAGCCATCGTTGGCACTGCCTCCGTGCTTCACAATCTCCACCACAGCATCGGTTCCTGTTGCCAATGTTTCAGCACTAGATAGCTGTTCCTTGTTCTGTTTGGATCCCCCAGCCACTTCACTGTCAACACTCTGTCTTGTACTTGATGGCTTTGTTGGTTCTATGACAATCGTATTGGATGATTTGATAGCAGTTGGCCAAAGTTTGGAATATTTACGGCTGGATGTCTGGGATCCTGCTGAATACATCATCGGTTTCTCTGGTTCGACCTTGATGCTCATCTCGGCCGGCTCAGACCGATCCCCCAGGGCAGACTTTGTGTGACTGGCTGAGTAACTGGTGAGGAGGTCACGAAGCTGCGTTGGGTTGAGGGTGTCGGAGTCCGGAAGCACCACCATGTAACACTCTCCATTCTCAGCCTTGATCTTGCTGTAGATGTTCCTCTCGGGGGGCAGCTTCTGTGGCGGGTTCCGACTATCAGGGAGGATGGTTGTGGTGTAGTTGCTGGCGCCAGCCTGCGATGGACCCGGTAATGGCTTCTTTAATGGCACTGCAATATATTCTGTGGTGGTTCTCCTGGTTGGGGCTCTCATCTGAGAGATTTTTCTAGGTGTGGATGTCACTGTCTGCACGCTACTGATATTCGAATCAAGGCCTGATATGACATAGGGCTGGTTGGTGGCATCTGAGCCTATCTGCAACTGATGGATGTTGGGGTTTAGACCATCACTTGTCTCAAGACATCCCTGGTTTATCACCAACTCTGCAATCTGTGCTAGCGACACAAGGTTCTGAGATCCCTGAGGCTGATCAACCGACACAAGGTTCTGAGATGTCTGAGTCTGATCAACCGACACAAGGTTCTGAGGTCCCTGAGATTGATCAACCATCACAAGGTTTCTCTCATCAGGTTCTGTTTGAACACAAATTGGCTTGCCTTCTCCATTGTCCTTCATAGCAATGTACTGTTCAGTGACAGTCACAGGGTTGATGTCCTGGTTAGTTACATTGTCTTCTGGGATGCTGACAAGATTAGCGCTGCGGTCGCTACTGTTGACAACAATTTCTGCAATCTGTGCCAGAGACTCCAGGTTGTATCCATCAGTAAGTCCCGACACGGTGACAGTCTCGGTCTCTCTTCCTGGTGTGTCAATCTGGACTGTCATCTGCACATTGCCTGACTCCTCCATGCTCTCGACGCCAGCGAGGGTGATGGTATGATACTGACCATCCGTGGACATCACCTGGAACTGCTGTCTGCTGTTTGGGGTCATGGTGGACGTGGCAGCCTCTCCAAGTGTGTAGGTGTCAGTTATGGCCTCAATTTTCATGTCAGACGGGGCGATGGTGTGCAGACTGGTGTTGTCAGATGGGGCGATGGTGTGCAGACTGGTGTTGTCAGATGGGGCGATGGTGTGCAGACTGGTGTTGTCAGATGGGGCGATGGTGTGCAGACTGGTGTTGTCAGATGAGATGAAGGCAGGCTGGAGGCCAGTTTCCTGACCTCCGTCCATCAGGACTGCAGCTGCATCAGACGGAACAGGCACAGTATGCTGGTCAATGTCCAGCAAGATGGATGGCCCTTCAGACTGACCAACAGTCAGGTCACTCTGATGGCCCACATTCATGAGAATGGTGGCAGCCTGTGATTGGCTGTTGAAGACGGAGCTCTCGCACTGCTGGGATACGTCCATCAAGATGGCGGCTGCTTCTGAGTGCTCAGTCTTCAGAAGGCTCGAGTCCATACCGGCTGTCTGGTTTCTGAAAAACGAAACAGATGAGATGAGTGAGTGAGTTGGGTTTTAACGCCGCTTTTAACAGTATTACTGTTATATCGCGGCGTGTCAGCTTAATGTGGGAGGAAAGCCTGAAGTGATGCAGGTCGCAGACGTTTACCACTTCGGTGAAACTCACGAGCACGGGTATGGTGCTGACAAACCTAGAAACATAATCAGGGCGAACCGGGATTCGAACCCACAATCATAGGTTTCTGTCGTGCCCAAGGGATGCAACTCTGCACAGCGAATCGCGGCGCCTTAGACGACTGGGCCACCCGTGCCGCCCAGATGAGATGAAAAATTGAACCAAAGACACAGCACTGGGGTACTTGCTAGGGATGGGTATTAACCTGACTTATGTATTGCAAATTATTGCAATAATGATTCATGTATTGCCATAAGTACCACATAAATTGCATGCATTCTTACATCTACTATTTTATTTTCTGAGGGGCACGGGTGGCCCAGTCGTCTAAGGTGCCGCCGCGATTCGCTGTGCAGAGTTGCATCCCTTGGGCACGCCAGAAACCTATGATTGTGGGTTTGAATCCCGGTTCGCCCAAATTATGTTTCTAGGTTTGTCAGCACCATACTCGTGCTCGTGGGTTTCACCAAAGTGGTAAACGTCTAAGACCTGCATCACTTCATGTTTTCCTCCCACATAAGGCTGACACGCCGTGATATAACTGGAATACTGTTAAAAGCGGCGTTAAACCCAACTCACTCACTCAATTATTTTCTGATCATGTCTGAAATAGATTCCCCTGCACAACTGTTTTTCACAACTTCGTAGTTTTGTTGAATGTTGCTACGGTAACAATGCATGCATAATAGACATGCAGGAAGCTGGTTGCAAATAGTTTCAATTACATGAATCATTGTTATTTTCTGAATTATAATTTGACTTGTCTCTTACATAAACTTTGCCAACAAGATGACAATCTGCATGATTTTGTAAAACGAAAATGCTAACTGAAAGTGCACATATCTGTGTGTTTCCACAAGTGATCCCCAGATTCACGGAGTGAGTGAGTGAGTGAGAATGGTTTTACGCCGCTTTTTGCAATATTCCAGCAACATCACGACGGGAGACACCAGAAATGGGCTTCACAAATTGTACCCATGTCGGGAATCAACCCGGGTCTTCTGCGTGACGAACGGACGAGTTAACCACTAGGCTACCCGACCGACCCTCACTTCAATAAGCTATTCAATAACCTTATCACAGAAATGCCTGCCACAAGTCACACACGTGAAAAGCTACGAAATTCGAAAAACTTAAAAGTTTGCAGAAATGTGTTCAGAATTACTAAATATGGTTGCAGAATTTACCAAAATTGACCAAAGAATTTTGATTTTTGAACCGTGAAATACAGTGGGAACTGAATGATACGGTTACCATGGTGTGTCACGTAAACTGGTGGTTGATAGAATGAGCAACAATCCATGCTCCAACACCAAACTTCTATTTATTTAAGATCTTCATTATTCTAAAATATTTGCAACACCTCGTTTTGGAAATAATGTTTCCTGCTGTGGCCCTGACAGGAGTTGCAAGTAGTAGGTCTAAGTTTGCTTTGTTTACTAGCAAAGTGCCAATTGGATCATTTAAGCCATTTTATCATCCAAAACTGGTTCCCACAGGAGATATCGCTTGTGTCATAGCGACTGATTTACGACTTCCATTGTCTGAAGAACATTTGATTGCAAAGGCTCATTACCCTGGAGCCATGACATCTTTATGCCTTGAAACACTTAATTGCTGTTATTTATTAGATGCTAATCCTAACTGTTAATCCCCATTTTTGTGTACATCGACTGTCTGCCATCCTGAACAGGATGTTCAAGTATGTCACTGATGATTTACTGTTTACATTTATATTTATTACTTACTAAATGTCAGGTGACCTTGGCTATATAAGCCTTGGTCCAGAAAGGAGAAAGAAAGGTCTTACCCTTAGCCTAGCTAGGGTTAGGCTGGGTGCTCCGGGGCACCAAGACAACAAGCACTACCACTATGTGCTGACTTGGCACATAGTGTCATTTGTATGTATCTATCTACATGTATAAAGTAAAACTGTATATACTGAAAGCCATCGTCTCCAAGATGTCACTTCCTACTGAGAACCATACGTCGGCCTCTTGCATATATACGAGTATGCAAATTGTTCATTAATCAACGTCAGACCGACACGCGTTGATACTTGGATGAGATCAAGCGATATCTACACTGTAGATATCCCTGCAATGAAATTACAACACAATGCTTTGCTGACCATTGTGACGTCACTGGTTACCATGACGTCACAATCAAATGACATCACTAATAGCTCTGCCACTGAAGCTGTTTGCAGTACTTTTTACACTGAAGACACTGCTAATTACTGTCTACAAATTGAAAAAGTTGAAAGAATGATGTTGGATGATAAATAAAATCTCACCCTCGTGTCTTTTGATATCAAATATATCAACACTCATTGATAAAAGTGGCAAAAATCCTCGGCAAGCCTCGGAATTTTTCCACTTTTATCAACTTGTGTTGATATATATGATATCAAAAGACACTCGGGTGAGATTCTCTCTATCTCCAAAGAAGAGATTTCACTTGGGCTGTCCTTTGGCAACAAGATATGTTCTTTACTTATCAAACTCTGCCTGACTTTTGTTGTTACAAAATTTATTATGCTACTTTTTAACCATCTTCCCTAGGAAAGGGAGATAACTGACAGTACAAGTCCAGTTTCCACCCTTGCCGAACTAGGGCTCGATCGTAGCACCACCAGCGGCTATTTAAAGTTATGTTCCTTCTATGCCCCTCCTAGAGACAAATCAGATTCCACTTCTCATATCATTTGCATTTGCAAAACAAATTAGGGGCACCGAGTCAAGACGATCTGATCGATAATCAAAATCTATATTGTGATAAAACTGGCCTAACTTTGTGAAATACATCAAATCATGAGGGCGTTTGATTAAAAACATGAAAAGAGTTGGAAAATATCTGTTGATGCCAACTTGGCGGTACACAGTCTTTGCAAATCCTGCAATCGACCTAAATCTGCACAGCAGTTCACGAACCTGACGTTGATTTCGTTTGACGCAATTTTGACTGGACTGTGCATAGACTCGTTAGTCCAACCAAAACATAACTCCACAATTCCAGCCTAGTTCCGCAAGGGTGGAAACTGGACTTTTAAAGTCAGTTAACTCCCTTGCCTTGGGAAAATGCTTTTTAACATCATCACAAGGACTTGCATTTTCTGCTGAATTATTACCACTGTACACCTTTATAATCATTATAATGAACATCCTGTATGGAGAGAAATCCCCTAAACAGTAGCTTCTAAACATCCCGAGGAATGGCTGACACACCATCCTTGATTACAACGTGTGTTGCTCCAATCTCATTAAAGTCAGGCCTTAGTTCTCGCTACTGCTAAACAAAGATCGGAGGACATCCCATTACGGGTCACGTCAGACTGACCTTGCGCGAACTTTGACCGAGCATTAGAATGACCCATCAGAAGGCAGCTTTCTCATGCTTTACGGCACTAATTTCAAATTGGCGACTACGTATCGAAACATATTTTGACAAATTCTTGACTACAAATTTGAAATCTAAACAAAAAAAACTTTTTGAATGGCTGATAGATGGTCTAGATTGTATGGATTCAGTCGTTAAACCTGTAACTATCGTTTGGAATACCCCGTGTTAAAGTTTTTGAGGTTGTATGACTAGAAATCACATTCCGACTGTCACTTTATTGATCTGGCGAGCGACGCTCTCATTGGTCGGATGAAAGGTCGTTCTGACGTGACCCCTAATGGGATGTCTTCAGATCTTTGTTTAGCGGTAGCGAGAACTAAGGTCTGATTTTAATGAGATTAGTTGTTGCTCCTTGTTGTTTATAGCTTTTTTTTTGGCCCAATTAGAAAAGCATGATGCTAGGTGAGATGAAACAGGCTTTTAACGTCGCGTCCAAGGTTAATGCACTTATATAGAGTTGTGCATGCACATTTGTGCCTGGAAATTCCTAATATGGCAATCAATCACACAATACGGAATTGGTAAGTCTTGGTGTAACTAAATCAGTATAGTATCGATTGACCCACAATGCACTAGTCTAGAGCTTCGGTAGTGTTTGGTTGGCTACAAAATGGCAGACATTTTTGCTATAAACATGAATAGTTGGTGTCATATTTCTAATAATGATGATTTAAATTTTAATTGAGATTTGTTCAAAACATTATAAAGGACTGGAGCAATAGTTAATTGGTAAATTGTAATAACGTGAGCTGTCATTCATGAATTAATCATTTGTAGTGGATGAACCATGTGAACAGGTAAATTGATTTAACCGACAATAGCAACATTACTATGGCCGTATTGACGTTACTGTATATGTTGCAATTGAATCTCTACATCCCCTTTTCAATTTTATAAATATAATAAAAAAATAATTTTTTAAAAGTATCTTAGTTAGATTTGCCAAGAGGGGCACGAGAAAGTGGTTTGGTTTGTTGTTTAACACCGCACTCAGCAATATTCCAGCTATATGACGGCGGTCTGTAAATAATCGAGTCTGGTCCAGACAATCAAGTGATGAGCATCAACCCACGAAATTGGGATACGATGACATGCATCAACCAAGTCAGCGATTCTGACCACCTGATCCTGTTAGTCGCCTTTTACGGCAAGCATAGGTTGCTGAAGACCTATTCTATCCAAGATCTTCAGTGAATGACAGTCCATGAATGATTCAAATCTGGGAATGTCTTTTTCCGTAGAAACACTATATTGCTCTGTCTCGTACAAGAAACTCTCAACAGAACATTTTTTGGAATTGTGATTCTTTATTTTAATCTGTGACCTAAAAATGGTAACAAATGATGTTAAAGGGCAAGTTCACACGGAAATGAACCTATTTTTCTTGTACGTTTTCCACATTAAAAGTGTTAACCTAGAAGTGTCATAGACAAAAATATAAAAATATCACAATTAATTAACATATTTTTCGCATTAAAACGATTTATATTTTTCACATTTACCAAGTGTTCTATTTCCACAACAAAAACACCATGGCTTATGCCCCTTGCAATATGACGTCATTGGTGCCAATTGATAAACATTATGACGTCATCATGCTTTGTTAGAGCTGCTTCACGTGGTGTAGGTACAGGTGTGTGATTCTAGCGTCTCAGATGCCAGCCAGCATAGTGTTATGCTGAGTCACCACTGCGCCGGAGTGTGTCGTAGGCCATGTTGTTTTACCGCAAACTGGTACTTGATATCTTTTGCGTTGAGAATAGACAGGGATCCAGTTGAATTGGCACCAATTACGTCATAATCTAAGGGGGATAACTCAGGCCTGTTTAGCTCGAAAAACGAAGGCCTCATAACGGCATATCATTTTCTCACTATAGTGAGCTTTCTACTTTCACTGTGAAAAAAATGAGTGTATATTTTCAAACACAGATACTAATTAATTCTAAAGTTGCGTTTTGTTTTGAAAAAGAAAGAAAGTGATTTTTGCGTGTACACTTCCCCTTTAAGTTGTTAACTAAAACATTTTCCGAAAACATTCAACAATTCCTTGAGACTTGCGCCCAGGGCACCGTAGGTCTCAAGGGATGCGCACAAAATGTCCGATTGGGAAACGTTTGACTGTACTCATGTCAAAATAAATTTAGATACACGCATAAACCAATCTGGTCATGCATACACTGAAGTTGACTGAAGTTTTATCTTTATGCAACATATAAAGTCAGAAGGAATGTGTGTAGATGTAAGAGTGAATATCATCCTGCCCTATTTTTATCCCTGGGATGAAATTCTCTAGTGTCAGGATGATTTCCCCCCCCCCCCGCCTCATTTCTTACCCCACACCCCAGCCAAACATGATGAAAATGCAAGCATCAACATAAAATACACTAGAATATTGTAACCTATTGCTAATTTTATTTGTCCTTATTTATCCTGGTTGTGACAGCCTGACGACACGCTGTCCTTTCTGTCAGCTGTGGTAACTTCCCTCTTCTTGTTGCCCTCTGTATAATATACCTCACCCTTTTCCAAACAGAAATGTTGACATACATAACAGACATTTTTGCCTCAAAGCCCTCTCCTGGTTCAAGTTCAACTTTTCGGGATATGTTTTGTCCTTTAAGTAATTGAATACTTTGGAATACTCTGTTCCATCCATGGTTGATCAAATCAACTGACAATGTCAACGTCAAACCTCAAAGTCATGAAGTCACGTGATCAGCTGATTCTAGTTAGTCTAAATTATCCCAAGATACGTTTTAGCTATAACTGGGATGAATTACCCGTAATGTTTGGACATAACCTATCCCAGATTTCCCCCATAAGGTAGGATACTATACTCTGGAGTAAAACTTCCCCCAGGATAATATTTAGGTAGGATATAATCCTTGCTTACATATAGTCAGAAAGAAATGTGAACATTTGTCACTTATAGTGTAACCATAGAGTTCTAGATAATATTTGCCATTTAAATATATAATCACGTGACTAACCACGGGTCCGGGTAGTCATGTGGGTACCCGGGTCCTACTCAGTATCTACCCGAACAAAGTACCCGAGTTACCCGCCCCAGCCCTACCAAGAGAGCCCCTTAACATGTTCAATGATTTAACTTGTAAACATTCGGGTTGATATCTGTAATTTGTTATGTAGGTTCAGTCCAGAAACAAAACGGTGACTTTTAAATCACACATCACAAGCCAAATAAAATGTTTAATCCAAAAGAAAGCATAGATTTTTCTAGATTTCTGCATTTATAATTTTCCAATTATGTTTGAACAAAACTATGTGGTCTCTTTCAAACTAATGTGGCCAGAAAATGTGAAAATAAATGAAAGTTCACAAAAGAATATCCTTTTGATCACATTTGCATTGAAAAATGAGTTTGATGGAAGCAGAACGTCACTCTAATTTACTGGTATGCAGGTTCTCATGAAGATTCAAATTTTGAGTTGTGTCCCTTATTGTTTTTCAATGTCGTCTGGCAGAAAAACAACTCTCATTTCGGAACAGTTAACTGGCACGAGAAATATAACACAGTCACAATATTTGGTCTCATCATAATAGCTTGAACTACGTCAGAGGTCAACTTAACGGTCAAAACCAGCTGAACATGGAAAGCGGGATATTATAGCAATATCAGCGCGCCGAGCAATCGAGGCCGGAGCACACGTCAGGTCTCAATCTACCGTTATTTACGAAGCCATGTCTAAATTGTTTAGCACTTGTAAACTATTACTTACTTACTTGATAATTATTTTGCTCTGTGTAATCTCAACACACAGTTCGCAGTGTCCTTTTGTTAGTTATAGCTAAAAATGTGCGAACATTTCAGACGCCATTTTGAAAGCGGGTAGCAATTTCTCTCACCTGATTACCTCCCCTGAATACATACCGCCTTGTGTTTGTGCGAATACACAGAAAGTTGGGAACATGGTTTTACCTTAAATGACTTTTATCTGTGCAAATGAAATAGCTTGGCAATAAATCGCAAAGAACAATGGAGAACGAAGCGTGATTTATTTCACGATAAAACAATGTTCAATCATGACGTCATTTCTGGAGATTCGAACATGCGCTCGCAATTTATGATGACGGGTATATTTGACGACGCTATTTTTGAGAGGGAAGTGTCTAGTAAGTTGTTCCCCACAGATGTAGAGCCCAGGGCTATGCAGATGACCGAGCGGATTGTGAGAATATGCGGGAAATACCGAACCTAACCTTTCTAATAAGAAATAAACGACTCGTGGTCTTTGTTTATCGTACAATAAAACACTGCAGTGAGAATAATTAAACGACTCGTTTATTTCTTAAATACATTTGAAACTGTAGTATTTAGTATGAAAACGACTCCGCGTTATTTTAATATTGGTTATATAGTGCTATATTCTTGTGTGTATGTTGTTAAACACCGCACGCAGCAATATTACAGCCTGTCATCGAGTCTGGACCAGTGAGTCGTGTGATTGATATTATGAGCAACCATGCCGTTGGGGTACGATGACAAGCAATGAAGCACGGTACCGATCCTGAGAACCCGATCCATGGGGTACATATACTACTCAAAAGAAGTTAAAGAACACCAGATATATAATACACGATTTAGCAAATTGGTCATTGCATTATGTGTTATAACATTACTATCATCTAATGTTTGGCAACATGTTGCACCACGTCTGGGGTATTGCTGATCCTCCTGACACTTTCTGGAAACACTTCTGGTAGTCATGCAAATGAATTGAAAACACAGGAATATTGTCGCCCGAACACAACGCTGCACCTGTCCTTAGCAACAACCAACACAATGTTCATGCTCAGCATATGAAAGTGGTGATGTTCATGGTGCACGTGCATGCTTTCCCTTTAAGAAGGCGATGACGATGATCGTGTTATCACACTTTCCAAAACCATGCCACAGAGACGACATCTGACTGATGTTGATAGAGGATGAGCTATTGGTTGGCTCCAGGATGGCCTTTCTTTACGTGAGGTGGACAGAAGATTGCAGGTGTCCCCCTCTGTCATTCACACCCTTTGGCATCGTTTTGCTGCCACTGGCAGAGTGCAAGAGCGACACCGTTCTGGACGGCCAAGGTGTACCTCACAACGTGATGGCCGATACCTGGTTCTCCAAGCACTCAGGCAGCGTACATCAACAGCAAACAACCTCAGGTTACAGTTAAGGGCTGTCAATAACACTGTCGTTAGTGATCAGACGGTGCGAAACCGTTTACGAGCTGCGAACTTGAGAAGTCGACGACAAGCAGTGAGACCACCTTTACGTCCAGTTCACAGAACAGCACGTCTGGCTTGGTGTCGACAACATGTGCGTTGGAACAGACAGCAATGGTCTCGTGTACTGTTTACAGACGAGTCGCGATTCTGTTTGCAGCTCAATGATGGAAGAATACGGGTGTGGCGTCGTACTGGAGAGAGATTCACTGATGCCACAGTACGTGAACGTGTCGCTTTTGGTGGGGGATCAGTGATGGTATGGGGAGGATTCAGTTGGAATCGTCAGATTGGTCAAGGTGCTATCCTTCAGGACGACAATGCACGACCCCATCGCGCTCGGATTATCACTGACTATCACAGACAAAGGCAGATTACCGTTATGCAATGGCCTGCTTATTCGCCAGATCTGGCGCCCATTGAACATCTTTGGGATGCCTTGGGAAGAGCCGTTCAAGCTAACCACCCACCTCCTGTTAATCTCCAGCAACTGTTAGGATTTCTTCATCAGGAATGGCAAGCAATTCCACAGACAACACTGCAGCAGCTTGTCCGATCTATGCGCAGAAGATGTCAGGACTGTATTGCTTCCAGGGGTGGGCATACCCGATATTGAAGGAACAGGATTATCCTGAACTGTAGTGTGTGACTTTTGATTTATAGGGTACATGCAATTCATATTGATTTGCTCTGGTCAGCTGTATGCCAGCGTTTCTTTCGTCAATGAAATGTCATGATTAAATACTTATCTTTCCCAATCAGTGTTGTTCCTGTGGCCACGATTTATTGTTTGAGTGATTTTGATAACTTATTTGGGTGTTCTTTAACTTCTTTTGAGTAGTATACATACAGCATATTCACCCTTGAATATAGTTATTAAAGCGGAAGGTCGTGGGTTCGATCCCCGGACGCGTCACGCCTGGTATAGACAAACCATGGTTCATGCATGTAAGTGAAATCCATCAGGTCCCCTCTGGCGGACAAACCATGGTTCATGCGTGTAAATATTACACAATAGTTCAAGTCAACACTAGAATCTCATTCAGTGATGCATGTCAGTGTGAGTGTGTATGTATCTGTGTGTGTGAGTGAATGTGGGGATATTTGAGTGTGTGTGAGAGCGCATGTATGTGAGTTTGTGTCTGTATGTGAGTTTGTGAGTTTGTGTCTGTATGTGAGTTGTGTCTGTATGTGTTGGTATTAGCGCGTCTTAGTTTGCATGTCCACGTGTACTGAACAACAAAAGTTCCTGTGACATTGAATAAGATTTAATGCAAAGTTATGTTTTTTACCAAATCTGAAACATTTTCGGTTTGCAACAGATAAAAGACTCATGTCAGTGTTCAAATGGTTTAATTTGCCATACTGACTTCAGAAAATGCGCGATTTGATAAAAAAACAACATGAACATGCCAAAATGTCAAATTACAAATCAATAGCGTGTGTGTCCACCTCTGGTTGCGATGCAAGCAACACATTTTCGTCTCATGGAATGGACCAGGCGTCGCACAAAGTCCTGTGGGATATCTGTCCATATCTGCTGGAGCATGTTTCGAAGTTCCTGGAGTGTCTGTGGAACACGTTTTTGACGTCGAAGGCGCCGATCCATCTCATCCCACATGTGCTCGATTGGTGAGAGATCAGGGAGCGAGCCGACCAGGGAATGACATTCACGTTGTTTTGTTGAAGCGAATCCTGAACATGTCGTGCAATATGAGGCCGGACGTTGTCATGCTGAAAGGAAATGCCTGGGCCATGACGACGCAAAAACGGTAGAACAACAGGGCCGATGATCTCGTCGCGGTAGCGCTGTCCATTGAGATTTCCCTCTACCGCTATCAAACGGATACTCTGTCTTGCTGTAATCCCACCCCATACCATAACGCTGCCGCCCCGAACCAATCTTCTTTTTGCAGCTCATACATGATATTTCCTTCTAATTGGACGGATGATATGACAACGGTGAGGTTTCAGTTTTAGATACATGAGTGTGCGCTGAGGCGGTATACAGCTCATACATGATATTTCCTTCTAATTGGACGGATGATATGATAACGGTGAGGTTTCAGTTTTAGATACATGAGTGTGCGCTGAGGCGGTATGCAGCTCATACATGATATTTCCTTCTAATTGGACGGATGATATGATAACGGTGAGGTTTCAGTTTTAGATACATGAGTGTGCGCTGAGGCGGTATACAGCTCATACATGATATTTCCTTCTAATTGGACGGATGATATGATAACGGTGAGGTTTCAGTTTTAGATACATGAGTGTGCGCTGAGGCGGTATGCAGCTCATACATGATATTTCCTTCTAATTGGACGGATGATATGATAACGGTGAGGTTTCAGTTTTAGATACATGAGTGTGCGCTGAGGCGGTATGCAGCTCATACATGATATTTCCTTCTAATTGGACGGATGATATGACAACGGTGAGGTTTCAGTTTTAGATACATGAGTGTGCGCTGAGGCGGTATGCAGCTCATACATGATATTTCCTTCTAATTGGACGGATGATATGATAACGGTGAGGTTTCAGTTTTAGATACATGAGTGTGCGCTGAGGCGGTATGCAGCTCATACATGATATTTCCTTCTAATTGGACGGATGATATGATAACGGTGAGGTTTCAGTTTTAGATACATGAGTGTGCGCTGAGGCGGTATACAGCTCATACATGATATTTCCTTCTAATTGGACGGATGATATGATAACGGTGAGGTTTCAGTTTTAGATACATGAGTGTGCGCTGAGGCGGTATACAGCTCATACATGATATTTCCTTCTAATTGGACGGATGATATGATAACGGTGAGGTTTCAGTTTTAGATACATGAGTGTGCGCTGAGGCGGTATGCAGCTCATACATGATATTTCCTTCTAATTGGACGGATGATATGATAACGGTGAGGTTTCAGTTTTAGATACATGAGTGTGCGCTGAGGCGGTATGCAGCTCATACATGATATTTCCTTCTAATTGGACGGATGATATGATAACGGTGAGGTTTCAGTTTTAGATACATGAGTGTGCGCTGAGGCGGTATACAGCTCATACATGATATTTCCTTCTAATTGGACGGATGATATGACAACGGTGAGGTTTCAGTTTTAGATACATGAGTGTGCGCTGAGGCGGTATGCAGCTCATACATGATATTTCCTTCTAATTGGACGGATGATATGATAACGGTGAGGTTTCAGTTTTAGATACATGAGTGTGCGCTGAGGCGGTATGCAGCTCATACATGATATTTCCTTCTAATTGGACGGATGATATGATAACGGTGAGGTTTCAGTTTTAGATACATGAGTGTGCGCTGAGGCGGTATACAGCTCATACATGATATTTCCTTCTAATTGGACGGATGATATGATAACGGTGAGGTTTCAGTTTTAGATGCATGAGTGTGCGCTGAGGCGGTATGCAGCTCATACATGATATTTCCTTCTAATTGGACGGATGATATGATAACGGTGAGGTTTCAGTTTTAGATACATGAGTGTGCGCTGAGGCGGTATACAGCTCATACATGATATTTCCTTCTAATTGGACGGATGATATGATAACGGTGAGGTTTCAGTTTTAGATACATGAGTGTGCGCTGAGGCGGTATACAGCTCATACATGATATTTCCTTCTAA